GACCTGCTTGAATGTCACAAATGGAAAAGGCTCTGGCCTCCTCTCGGGGCACGGGCACCAGCACAGTCCAGAGGACCTCGAGTACTCACTCCACTTGTAAAGTGTGACCAGTCACATCCTAATAAAAAAGAGACCCCTGTGTGAATGAGCCCTGAAAGCCAGGAAGTGGTACGTTAGTGTCAGATCTTCTCAGCACCACCCACATCTTCCTCTCAGAAGTTCAGGCTGCAGAGTCTCTTCTCAGCACGGGGTTCTAAATGTTCCCAGTGGCGTGCTACCTACAAGACGCAGAAGCTGCTTTCAAAAGTCAGTCACACTGAGGGCTCAGCAAGAACGACCAACCTGGACTGCTCAGGTGGTCCCCTGACATAACAAAGTCCACATCGTTCCAAACCTTCTGCCCCATCAACTTCTGCCATGTGAGTGAATTCCTTGAGGGAAAGTGATTACTGTGTCAGAAGCCGGTGAAATCATCCTTGGGGTACACAGTTTTATCTGGGGAATAGTTCCTTTCGTAATTATGTTCTCTACTAGGAATATATTATATGATGTATTTTTCCTCCAAAGACATCACTAATCATATGTTAAAAATGTAACTACAATGAAAATACAAGATGTTTTGTTAGACACCATATTCAGCGCTTGGCAACTGTCAAGCTCAAGACCCAGTGCCTAACCCCGTCAATACTGCCGCTGATCACTCACACCCTTGTTCTAAGGATGTGAGGTGCCGGGAGCCAGTCCATCCTTGCTGTTTCAAAGGACCTGGCATATATGGCATACTGTTCTTAATATGTTTGCTCACCTTCTTGGCACTGTGTTTTAACCAAGGTCTCCTCTCTTAGAAAAGTTGTTTCCCCAGGTAGGGATTTTCCCCTGAAGTTAGGGAGGGAATAAAACCTCTTAACTAAGTGCCAGGCGGGTAATTAATCACTTTAACTACGAACCCGGGAGCCGGTCCATGCTTGCTGTTTCAAGGGACCTGGCATATATGGCATACTGTTCTTAATATGTTTGCTCACCTTCTTGGCACTATGTGTTTTAACCAAGGTCTCTGAGAAAGGTTGTTTCCCCAGGTAGGGATTTTCCCCTGAAGTTAGGGAGGGAATAAAACCTCTTAACTAGTGCCAGGTGGGTAATTAATCACTTTAACTACAAACAATCATGCTTAAGCTACATAATCTTTACTCCCTGGAATGGAGATAAGAAACGCCCTAACCTTTGTAATAGAGATTGGTAGGATTGAATCAACTGGTATAAATACAGATGTAGTAAGACAGCAAGAGACAGAACTTAGAATATGGAACCAAGAGAGACAGAACCTAGGCACAGAACCTACACAGAACGTTCTCTAGAGACAGAAGAACTTCGCTGGAGAGAACATGGCAAAAGATCCTGGACAGAAACTGGCCTCAGAACCTAGAGACAGAACCTAGGGAGAGAACATGGCAAAAGATCCTGGACTGAACCTGACTACAGAAATTGGCAAGAGAACATGACTAGAACCTGGAGATCCTGAACCTGGCTGGAGAACCTGGAGAACCTAGCAAGAGAACATGGACACAGAACCTAGCTGCAGATCCTAAGCAGAACTTCGCTGGAGATCCAGACCAGAACTTGGCTGGAGATCCTGGCTAGGCTGCTGATCAACTGAACACTGTCTCCGTGTCCTTCCTTCTTCGCCAACTCCATCCACACCTTTGGGGACCCCTGGACCCGCTGGGGCAGGACCCCGGCATTTAACTATGAACAATAATGCTTAAGCTACATAATCTTTACTCCCTGGAATGGAGATAAGAAACGCCCTAACCTTTGGAATAGAGATTGATAGGATTGGAATCAACTGGTATAAATACAGATGTAAGAAGACAGAACTTAGAACTCAGAACTAAGAAGACAGAACCAGGAGGCACAGAACCTACACAGAACGTTCTCTAGAGACAGAAGAACTTCGCTGGAGAGAACATGGCAAAAGATCCTGGACAGAAACTGGCCTCAGAACCTAGAGACAGAACCTAGGGAGAGAACATGGCAAAAGATCCTGGACTGAACCTGACTACAGAAATTGGCAAGAGAACATGACTAGAACCTGGAGATCCTGAACCTGGATGGAGAACCTGGACCCAGAACCTGGCTGGAGAACCTAGCAAGAGAACATGGACACAGACCCTGGCAGGAGATCCTAACCAGAACTTCGCTGGAGATCCTGAACAGAACTTGGCTGGAGATCCTGGCTAGAGATCCTGGCTAGGCTGCTGATCAACTGAACGCTGTCTCCGGATCCTTCCTTCTTCGCCGACTCTGTCTACGCCTTTGGGAACCCCTGGACCCGATGGGGTTGGACCCGGGCAGTGAGGGTCTCTTTGTCTGTCATCTTTTTAAAAAATAATTATGTAGGAGTTTATAAGATTATTCTAATTACAATGCAAGCTTTGCTACAGAATTCTATGTTGAGTCTGTGTTGTAGCACCTTGTTCGGGCAGAGACTGTGTGAGGAAAAATATTTCCTTGGAATTCACTGGACAGTGTCTTTGTGATGGAAAGAAACCTGGACTGGGAGTCAGACAGCCAAAGCCCAGCATTGGCTCTGACCTTGAGCAAATCACTTCTGCTTTGGGGCTCTGTTTCCTTCGCTACACACCCAGCCATGCAGCCCTCACACCTCTCCTATCCAGAGATGCCTGTCCCCTATGCAATGCTCTGGCGCCCAACCCCAGTGTGGTCGTTACAATGAGCTCCACGTATAAAGCTGAATTTAAACATTAACAACAGTCAACAAGATAGAGACAGCAAAACTAATATGGTGAGGGGGTAAGAGAAAGAACTCCTTCCCCAAAGGCTGGTCACACTTGGCGTCACACCGAGGTGATGCCAAATATACAACGGCCACATCGAGAGAAAGGAAATGAGAGAGAGGCTGGGATCTGACTTCTCAGCTTAACCTCATCATTGCAGGGGACGGAGACCATCACCAGCAAGCAGAGGGACAAAGCAAGAAAGGCCACGTTGATGGGAGGAGCCAGACCTGAGAAGGAATGATGGGAAGCCGACAGGAAGTCGGTGAACCTGGTGGGAAAGGTACAGGAGGAATTCACAGGGATCAGCCCAATGCCTGGGTCCAGACTTAATGCTGACTTGTACTGTACATCCTATTAGTTGGGGAAACGTGGTCCCCAAGTTACTAGCTCACTGGAGATGTAGCACCTGAGAGCCTGCTGGTGATGAGGACGCAGTGAGCGCTGAGAGGAGCCTGGGCAGCTAACTCCTCTTATTCAGGAAAACTCTAGGCTTCCATGGCTGCAGCCTCCAGTCTAATGAGACAACCAGTCCAGCAAACAGCAGCAGAGCCAGACCCACGAGCACCAAGCCTGCAGAAGCAGCACGGGGACCCGGGCATCCCTGAGGGCCTGTGCCAGGCGAGGCACAGGCACCCGGTGAGACTGCAGAGTTAGAAATCACCGCCCACAGACCCAGGCCTGCCTGGCTAGCTGGGGCACATGGGCAAGCCTTAAGCACTCGGTTTCCTTTCTGTTCAGTGAGAAGGTGGACCAGTATTTCACACCCTGAATTGATGCTGCAGTGAGCTCATCTAAATCTAAATTGCAGGGTACCAAGAACAAAGGACACGTTGGCGTACACAGTGGGGGATGGGCAGACACAGGCGCTGCTACTGAGGAGGGGGCGTGGGAGAAAGTCAGAAAAGGGGCCTTGCTGGGTCAGCAAACCAGCCACGGGGATACGGAAGCCCCATCATGCCCAGCTTCCTGGGGCCCTAACCATCTCTGACTCACGGGCAGGTCCCGCAGGGCTCACGTCCTCCTCCACCCCTCCTGAGTAATAGGCGTTACTATAGGGCAAGTGTCTATCTGGCAGCCACTGGAGCTGAACTTCCAAGTGGTGGCCCCTCCCTCACTGACTAAGACTCCATCACGCTGGTGAAGTTGGAGAATCAGTGGGACCAGTTCTAACACTCAGAGAATACAGGGTGGACAAGCCACATACCTGCTGTGGCTTCATGTTCTTCGCGCAAACAATGGTTGAGCATCTGCTGTATTGTCCAGGCTCCGCCACGGCTTGCAGATGTTTGCATCTCGGCATTGCAAGCTCTCTTCCCTTAACAGGAAAGCCATCCAGGCATTTCCAGCCATCAGGACAACATTCCCGAGGCCGCCTGTACCAGAGGGACCGAAACTGATCTGTGCTGCCCATGGGCTTGCCACAATTGGTCTACGCAGACAAATCAAGCCAAACATAACCAGGCCCTCTGGTTACTTGGTGCATGCTTTTTGTTTATTTGTTTGGTAAAATCTTATTTCAAGTTCAGGAGAAAAAGGCTGAAACCCTGTGTTGACATTTCAATAGGCTCATACATTTTCAAGATGATTTAAATAATTTGTTAGAAACTAGGGACCATCATTTCTTGATGATATGTAGCGTGTCCTCTTCCACCCTCCAGAAAGTTGGATAATGAATGCAGGGAGTAAAGGACAGGGAGATGACGAGTAAGTGCCACAGGAAGAAATACCAGCCCAGGTGGCACTGACTCCACACGCTCTGAAAACCTAGAGCCGGCAAAGGAACATCCAGGTTGCTAAGAAAACTCAAAATACCGCCCTTTGTCAATTGCCATTGATGTGCAACAAGCTGGTAGCAAACTCGGGAACTGTGTGGCTTTCCAGAGACCTCCCAAGTTCCATCCTCCCTACCTCTTCTGTTTTTATTTCTATGGGTCATTCGTCAACAATGTGTTGTTGTTTTTTTAAATATCCCATCAACACCACTCATGAGAGTCTTTAAAGATCCTTAAACGTAAAGGATTGGTTTTGAGAGAGGTCACGCTAAGTCACCAGCTACCTTTTAACACTTCAAACCTGGGAGGGTGCTCCTGTCTTCCATTTTGCTCTGAAACATTTAAAATAAAACAGTCCCATCTTGAAAGACTAACATAAACAGCCTCCAGGAAAGAGGACCCGCTGAGTGCACTCCAGAATCCAGCCCACCTGGACGCTGGCCCATCTCTGTGAATTCTTTGCACTCATATGAGATGTTAAGAGCCACCACGAATCTTGAATCATCTAATCCACCTGTTCATATTATAGGTGAGAAGGAAAAAAAAAAAAACGGGCATAAAGCAATGCAATAAACTGGCCGCGGCAGAGTGACAGCCTCCCACTGCCAGACCCAGATTTCCCCAAACCACCTGTTACTTCCTTCACAGGTTCCTCCCACCTCCCAACGCAGCAGCCGCCCTCCCTACCTTTTTTCTTCCACCAGGGTCCTTCTGGGACCGAGTAGGAAAGGTCCTTGAATTCAATGTTGATAGCTGCCCTCCGGGGCAAGGAGGACAAGCGCTGGGCCTCTGTGAGGTTGTTGTCCACTTTTTTCAGATGCCCATTCAGCATATCCTTCTCGCACAGCTCTGTGTTGCTGGAGACCACCTCGTCCACCGAGACGCACACCGACTTGAGCTCCGTCATCACTGCAGAGTAACTGCTGGTGTTCTACAAGAGAGAGGTTATAAGTCACATCAGGGCGAGGAGCACAGGGGACCTTGAGCCGGGTGGCCAGTCCCCAGGTCATGGAATACTTATAGCAACACTTCTTAAACTACAAAGAGACTTCGCTGGGAGAAGCAAACTTACCCAGAGAAACCTGTTACCTCTAGCCATCACTTTTTCTTCTATTGAAACAGTACTTAAGATATTCAACTTATCTACCAGTCTTCCTTTGGAATCATAAAAATCTAATCACAAAACCATAATAAATGAATAATAACCAAAGAATGAAACACTGGCCAACATAAAATGTTATCTATGTACAGTCAACTCATTAAAAACCCTAATAAAGGTACACAAGGCTCCTAAAAAATGTGCAATTGAAAGTTTTATTTAAAATGAGCTCTTTTAGTGCCTTTCTCGTGTAACCTCATCGGCATGTCTCAAGAGCAATGACACCACTTGAACCTCTGGGTTTTGTGGGAGGTGGCCTTAATGTTTCCCTTGTAAATTTCCCAAATCACTCTCAACTCTCCTCTCTCATCATATCTTAATAATAGCACTGAAAAAAGGAAGATTAATATTTGTTCGCTATTAAACAGACAGGAAACTGAGGTGCGGACAACTTAAGGAATTTGAACTTGCTCTGAGCCCTATAATCAAGTGAGAGGCAGAAGTGACCCCAGAATCTGAGTCATCAAAAAGAAGACACCTTAGATGCCCCTTTCCACTGCATCACATGAGTACCTAACATAGTGTAGCTACAATGGCTTTCAAGCTTCCATTGGGAGTCACTGACCTGCTACAGATGTGCCAAGAACCAAGGGTATTTATGCAAAGAAAGGAATATCTTTTTCTAACAGTTTGACAACCCTGAATAAATCGATATGCTTCAGGTACTGCCAAAACTCAGAAGAACCCTGAGGTGGGCAAATATTATGCTTTGCTTTCTCTTGACTCAAGAGGGAACATTCCACAGGGGTCCAAAGCACGATGTTCCTTCATGTCGCTGAAGGCAGTTGGCCTGATGGGGAGAGGCCATGGGTAAACTGTCTTGGGTAATTCAGGACCTCGCGACTGCGGCAGGATCGGGGACACATTGGGCGCTGTTGTGTGTGCTGAAGAGGAACGCCGTACTGTTCCATAGGTTTGTTAGGCCCGTTGCTTCAGAGCTGATAGCTTTTTATCATTATTGTTTCTAATAAAAAATCCAAAACAAACCTGAGAGTGGATCACCCATAAATATTCCTACAAACCTAGCAACTCCTGTGGCCAAGACAAGCCCTCCCCCACTGGAATGCGCTATGGAGGACCTGGCTGTGTCCTCAAGTCCTGGCCTTTTTTCCATCAGGTGCTTAAGGGCTCACAGAGCTTGGAGGGCTTGGTTTTGAATGCCTCAAGCACACAGGGTTGAGCAGATGTGGGCATAGGGGTTTCTGGTTCTTGTGATGTTTGAAAATGTTGCTTTGACATTTAAGAAAAGGGCACAGGTACATACACACACACACACACACACACACACACACACCCCTCAGGCATCTCCTGATCTCTGGAAGGCTTAACCTCTGGAAATCTTAACTGACTATAACACTCAGTGGATAAAAATTTAAGTGCAGAATAAAACCAACAAAATTAAGCTTGGTTTGCTACTGGCATGGAGCATATGAAATGTTTCAAATGCAAACATAAGTAGGTTCATACATTCCGGAAGTTAGGGAAGGTCTGTGTTGGCCCAACACCGGGGCTCCTGAGAGCCCTGGCATGACAGGATGCCACCGCTGCCTCCGAGCTTACCCCGGGCCTTCGGTGTCCAGGCCTCTAGAGGAGTAATAGCAGACCCTGCCTCAGCTCACGCTCTTAGCTTTGGCTGATGAGGAGAAAACTTACAACTTCAGCTCTGGCACCCAGAGCGGGCACCAAATGCCAACCCTTTGCCCACTCATCTTGTCCTTGAGGGCATATGCTACTGTCCCGGATTTATAACACACTTTGACTCCATAATTGCCCTCAAAGCACCAAATCCTGGCCTTGGGGGATAGCAAAGGGAGCAATGGGCAAGACAATTAGCTCCAGGCCTGGTCCCCCAACCAAGTGAAAAGGCTAATCTATGGTTCACGCCCACATTCTGCTGACAGACTTGGCTCTTACCTGGGATCCCCCATCATTGGATGTTCAGTTGCGGGCAAGGAGTAATCAGCAACTCCTCTCCAGTGGTGGCCCCCCTGGACTTCCACCCCAGCACTCCAGCTGCCACAGACCACCTCTACCCTCCCCCAGAATCCACCACAAGTGTCAACCCCTGCTGAGGCCCAGGAATAGGTCCCAGCTTTCCTTTGTGATGAATACAGGGATGAACAGCCATTACTCCAACCACCTGCTCACAGGCTGTAGCAGATGCCAGACTTGTATTAGGATGAGGGCCTGGCTTTCCCCCGCTCTAGACCCTAAGCTTATCTGCTCTCTCACTTACTCATTCATTTAACAAATTGAGCACCAAATAAAGCCCCGGGGGTTAGCTGTCAGCCACACAGACATGGCCTATGGCAGTGGTTCTCAACCTTCTGGCCCTTTAAATACAGTTCCTCATGTTGTGACCCAACCATAAAATTATTTTCGTTGCTACTTCATCACTGTAATGTTGCTACTGTTATGAATCGTAATGTAAATATCTGATATGCAGGGTGGTCTTAGGCGACCCTGTGAGAGGGTCGTTCGACCGCCAAAGGGGTCGTGACCCACAGATTGAGAACTGCTGGCCTATGGCCTCAGCAAGCTCATGTTCAAGATTGAGCCCCAGACAAGAATAGGGGCACTTAGTTATAAGACTGTGAGGCCAGAGCTACAAGGAGTCCATGCAGAGACTCAGAAGGGATATGCAGTCCTGGGCAGGACAAAACTGGGTGACGAAATGATTGGTAATGAGAGAGAGAGAGAGAAAGAGAAGCCAGAGACGAGTGCTCACGATTTAAAGTATTAAACAATAACACCTTGTGCATAGTAGGTGTGACTACTGGTATAAACAGTGACTCTTGATGCAGCAAGTACAGTGAGCCCTTTAAACTCCAGGATGCGGAGACTATGCCTCTTACTATCTCCCCAACTCTAGCGGCATTTTATCATCTCCCCCTCATCCATTTCAGAGGAGGGATCTAAGGCACAGAGAGACTGCCCGACCTGCCCAAGACCCCACGGTTAGTGAGTAGCCAGGCCGGGGTCCAGCTCTGTGTGGCTTCCATATCTGCATCCTGTCCTCCCAGCCAGCATCCTTAACAGTGCTTAGCTTTTTACAGGCAAGTTGTAGGTGACCCTGGGTCATCCTAGCCCCTGTCCATTATAGGGAAAGCCACATACAAAAAACTGAGAAGCCATACAACCCCACCCTCAGAAACACTGACACCAAGGCTGTGTACACCACTATCCACCCTCCCTCCATGGGTGTCCAATGGCCTCGCCCAATTAATAAAATCATGGAATCCTGTATGATGGGAGGCAGAGGCTGTCACTCCGAAATAGACCAGCTCTCTGGGAACACATCCTCAGATGAGAGCGACCGCCAATGTAGGTTACAGCTCGCTGTCCTCAGCCTCCTGAGCTCATTAATAATGAAACAAATCCATCTGCCCTCCCCACTGACTCCCTTCCACTGTGTGTTCCCTCCTGACTGAAGCATTGTCTTGACCTCGCCCCCTCCATGCACAATGTGTGCTGCATAATAAATGGTAAATAACAGGAAGCCCATTCACGGGTGTTGGGTGCGAGCAGCCCATGCTTGGCGTGGTCCTGCCTGCTGTTGGTGAGAATACTTCCTAGGTGCTAGTGTCAATTTGAATGCTAACACATACATAGATGCCTATTTAGCTGGGAGGGTCTCTAACAGGCAGCAGCCCCCCAGGCCACTGTGAGACTGGCTCACTCTACTTACCCAGGAAAGCCTAGTTAGAGATAGAAACACACACACACACACACACACACACACACACACACACACACTCAGCATCTTGAGGGAGGAGAGAAGGGAAGAGGAGCTCACAGGCACCAGGTGCTGGCAGGCACCAGGTGTTGGCACACACTCTCTCACTTCTCTGTTCAGTTTCTCATCACTGGCCTTGGTGTCCACCTAGCAGATCTGTCCTTGGTAACCAGGGCACATTAGAGGAAAATGTACCGAGGAGACTTCTCAAGGCCACTGCCTGAGGGAAAATAACCCAAACAAAGCAAAGGGCAGATGCCACCTGCATGGTCACTCAGAATGCCAACCTCCCCAAAGCCAAAACCCGGCTTCCAACAGGCCCAAATGCCACCATCCCTTTGGAGCCCGTGCCTCCCGCTCCCACCAGCTCAGGGACTCCCCTACCCAGGCCAGGCTACTGCCTATTTCCTCTCCTTAAACTCACCTCCAGCCCAGTCTGCCTGGGCTGAACCCCAGAGCCAGGGTGACGGTAAAGCAAACTTCAGGATCCCGGGAGCTCTCCCAGGGCTCACTGTTTACGTCCTGAGTAGAATTTATTATTATTATTTTTAAAAACCCGGCTACTTTTTTCAGGGAGGAAATTGATTTGAAAAGAAAAAATTCTCTGAGAAAAAAAAAAAAAAAAAAGAACCCAGCCACTAGCACCTCCACGTGCAAACAAAACACTGGGGCTGTACCAACCATGACGTAACATAACAATCTTGACATAAAAACCTCTATTCTTCAACACATTCTGACTCATTCTTTTCCCACATGGATAAGCCGCTTTGGCAGCTTTGAAAGGACATCAAGGGTTACCCAGCACCTAAAAGGCCGGAAACTTTCTTTACCTACAACTATCAGTAATAATCTCCTTCATTTTTTCATTATCAGCATGACTGAGGAATCCCAAAGAGGTGGGCAAATGCAAAAAGAAGAATTGCCAAGTGTGATCCAAACACTCATACCGATTAAATCAATTGTCCTGAGGAGGGACTTCTCTTTCCTGGTTTCCCTCCCCTCTCATCTGTAAGAAGCCAAGCAAAGCAAGCCCAGA